TTTAATTAATCAAAAATCAGGTATTATAATTAAACCACCACACCTCATACACCTCAAACCCTAGATCTGTTTCCCCTTTCTTTCTCAACATTTCCCTTCTCTATATCGCGTCTTTTCTCCTGCAACACGCTATTTCCAATGACATGGCACCATTGGCGTTGAGGTGCGGCATCGAATGGGCGGTTGTTGAGGAGCGCCAGCCGCCGGAGACACCAACAGTGGCGTCGCCTCACCCCTGCAACCAAGAGAATCACAGTGTGCGATCTATCGCATAGCCCAGCACAACAGCAACATCGCCTCGCCACTGCAACTGAGAGAATCACTGTACGAGATCTGTCGCCTCGCTGATGCAATCAAGAGAATCGCTGCTGGGAAGGTCTGTCACTGTAGCTCTATGGTACACGAAATAGCAGGGCCTAGTATAGAGGAGTGACGATTCGTCGAAGTGGTGTGTCCTGAAGAGTGTTGGAATGGTGTGCGGTGCAGGTGAAGCTAGTGAAGAGCGTTGGAGTGGGTGTGTCGTGAATCCTCGTCGGTGTACAGTGGGGTTGGTTGGGTTTTTTGAGTGGTGTTGGATGCGGTGGTGGTTGTCCTGAAGGTGGCTCTGTTTGTTTGTTTAGTGGGATTTGTTGGGTCTTTTGAGTGTTGGTGTTCAGTGGCCCTACCGGTATGCAGTGGCTCTGGCGGTGGTGGTGGCCTTGACGATCGATCTGTATACGGAGGTGTTGGTGTTGTTGAAGATGATTGTGGTCATGGTAACAGTGGTGGTTTTCGGTGGTTGTTGTATTGGCGGTGGAGATTGTGGTGACGTTGTAAGTTGGGTATTGTTAGTTTGTTTGGTGGTGGACCTGGAGGTAGATCTGGTGGCGGCGATTTTGTTGGTGGTGATATCTTGGTTTTGTTGGTGGTGTTGGTGGTGTTGCGATGGTGGCGATGGTGACGGGGTGATGGTGGTTGCAAGTGGCATGGTGGCAGTGAAGTTGGTGACGTTGTGGGGTGACGGTGTGGTGATCGGTGGTGGGGTAATTGGTGCATGTGACCGTGTGACTTATAATTTTTTTTTGATCTGTGATCAATGAAATAATTTGTGACCTATAAATTTTTTATTTGTGATCTCGAAATAATCCGTGACCTACAAAATTTTTTATTTGTGATCTCTAAATAATCTGTAGCCAATTAATTCGATGATATGTGACCAATAAGTAAATTTGTGACCAAAAATTATGGATCTGTGACTATTAACTATGTAACTGTGATTTTATTATATTTAATTAATAAATATTTTCAATTAATTATACAAAAACTTGAATTTTGAATTTTTAAACTTTGTATCTGATTTGTGAATTAGTGTAAATAATACACTTGATATATGAATTTTCCCTTAGTTTTATGAGAAAACATTGTTAAGCATTGAGCCCTTGTTTGAGCCCATTTTGGGAGGGAAAAATGAATTTTGGAATAGTGTGTTGATAGGAAATATGTGGTTAAAAAATAAGAAAAAGTTTTGAATTTACGTGTAATATTATTTTATTAAAGAATATGTGGATGAAATGATGTCAAAATACTGTTTAAAAATATATTTTTGTGGAAAGAATGGGGCTCGATTAGGGGCTGAATATAGTTAAAGTAGGATTACTAGTCATGATAATGAAATGCGCATATGTTATCTATTAGAATGGTAGACATATATAAATATACTGAAACTAATTTAAAATGCACAAAATAGAAATTAATTGTACTATTCAGATTTTATGATGAAAAAATCTTCGATGTAAGTTCTCTGTACCAACAAATAGGAGCAAAATTTTCTTTTAGCTTTTTTTTTTCTCGTGTTAAAAATACTTAAGCATTAGAACTTAAAGAATCACATTTGCTTCGAAAACACTTAATAGTGGTACGAACTACACGAAATGAATGCTAAACATTACTTGCTTTCATATTTAAACGCAGAATTTCTAAATAAATGGATATTGTATCGTTGGTAAACTAGCTCTATCAAAATGAGCTTATTCAGTCTTATTAGCAACGGATGGATTCAGTGCCAATCTTGACCATTTTGTGTACTGTCTTCCTAAAAATTTTCTTCCACGTTTTCCCTGATTAAGTTCAGAGTGGAGTGGGTTCACAGCACCCACCTCATTTATTTTATTATTTTTATTTAAATGGGATGAAGCACCCAAAATACATAGTTATAGAAGGACATAGTCGATTTGAACTTTTTTTTAATACTTTTGACAATGAATAATATGCTTACAGTTAATTACTTATTTATAAAATTTAAACAATTAAAACACTTTTTTACGATATGGTAGTTCTTAACTACCAATAGTATAGTCATTGAACATCGAAAACTATTTTGGCGTCAAATTATAGTTGTTAATCAAGTTGTCATAAACTTTCAACGATGAAACTTAATCAGTCTTTGAATGTCGGGTGACTTTGTAGTACTAGTCGTTGTATGTAGAAAGGTATTTTGACACGATGTTAGAGTTGTAACCAGGTTGTCATAAACCTCCAACGATTGAAACATAATCTATCGCTGGATCTCACTTGTAACGACCACTAAATAAATAGTCGTTGAATGTCAAGTTATCCTTTAGTTACAACAACGAGATAAACTTAGTTATTGTTTTAATATATTAACAACCAAACATTATGGTCGTTGAATAATTACCATACTATTTGTGTTTTCAACAACTGATTTTGTTGTAATTGAATATGAACAAATATTTTGGCGTGAATTTTTTAATTGGCACCCACTCACAATGACCAATTTTAATTTTGTCGTTGAAAATATAGATTTAACTATTTTCTTATCGTTATAGGATATTTTCAACTAATTTAAAATTCGATTCTTTATCATCCAATTTCTACGACGAAATGTATAATTTGATAGTTGAAAATAATTATTAACAACCAGATTGATTTGTTCGTTGAAACATCAGTTGTAAACTATCATTTTTCTTATAGTGTATTGATATTTCACCTTTCCATATCCTATGTACCGTTGATTCTTCATGTGTTACAGGTATATATGCATCAGCTCATGATTTATATCCTCCTTCTATGGTGTCACAAACATCGCTGAGATCGTTGATCCAGCTCCTATTTTCCCTCCCTTCAATATCCTCAACGAATTCGTAAGTCTACTCAGTTACCTGATTTTGCTTATTCTTATTATTCGAAGTCCTTTTCTTGTTTTCCAACCTCCATGCACAAGCTATATGAACCCTCTTCCTATAAAAAAGTTATTTTAAATCCTCTTTGGCGATAGGTTATGACTAATGAATTCTTTGTTCTACATAAGACAGACACTTGGGACTTGGTTGCATTATCTCCAAGTAAACATGTCATTGGTTCTCATTGGGTTTATAAGATTGAAACAAAATCAATGGTTCAGTTTAGCATTACCATACTAGATTGGTTGCTAAATGTTATAATTAGCAACATGGTCTAGATTATGAGGAGATTTTTTCTCCCGTTACTAAGATGACCACTATTCGTACATTTATAGTAGTTGCATTTATTTGCCAGCGGCATCTCTCTTAGATGGATGTCAAAAATGCCTTTTTGAATAAAAATCTTCAAGATGATGTTTGTATAGTTCTCCCTACTTGTCTTTCTCATAGTCTTGTATATGTTTCCAAGCTCAAGATGCACTTCATGGCAAACAAGCATCTCATGCCTCTTTTGAGAAATTTTCCATCGTTGTTGCCTCTCTTGATTTTATATCCAGACATCACTACTATATACTATTCTTTAGATGTATTTCAGCTAGTCACATTTTACTTTTACTTTATGTTGATGATATGGTTATTATTGGCGATGGTGTTAATGGGATTGCTGATTTGAAATTAGAATTGGGTCACCATTTTAAAATGAAGGACTTAAGTGCATTATTTTGTTGTCTGGGGATCGAAGTTGCTTCTTCTCCTAGAGGTTATCTTCTCTCTCAGTCCAAGTATATTATGAATGTTATTAAGCGTACTCGTCTTACTGATATTAAAACTGTTGATACTTCTCTTGAGTCCAACGTTAGATATTCACCCTCTGACGGTGTACCATTGACTGATCCTACTTTGTATCGCGCCATTATTAGATATTTGTTTTATGATACTATTACATGTCTCGATATTGCTTATGTTGTTCGCATTATTAGTCAATTTGTTTCAACTCTTACTATAGTTCACTGCGCAACTATTATTCGTATTTTATGCTATCTTCGTGATACTTGCTTTTAGAGTCTTTTGTTTCCGTCGACTTCTTCTCTAGTGCTTTGTGCCTTCTTTGATGTTGATTTGTCATCATCTACAAACTGACACCATTTTTTTATCTTTTGTTTCTTCATAATTACATCTTGCCGACTTCTTTATTAAATCTCATCCGGTTCATCATTTTCGCTTCGTATTGGACAAATTCTCACCGCTTCTTACGGTAGCATCATGAGTTTAAGGGGGATGTTAGCCTTATATTGAATATTTAATTTATGCATACTATTATTAGTTTCCTTCTTTTGTAAGGAAATTTTTTTTTTTGGGTAATATATAAACCTAATTGTTTCATTAGAAACCAAATTTTTGGAGGCTCTCATAATCGGTTTCTTCTTCTTGCTCTCTTAGTTCTTTTCCTTTGTTTGGTTTATCAAATTGGCTTGGATTATTCACAGTCAAGTATTTGCAATAAAAGTTCATCCTACCACTTGTTTCTAATCATTATGCATTGTAGGGAATGCAAATTACTAGAATCTTCTGCACTGTGGCATCAGTGGTGGACGTAGACATTTTGAGTTGGTGGGGCACAATCAAACTTGCAAAGAATACAAATTTACGTTTATCTCAAATATCACCAAATTTGTAAGCTTTTTTATCTCAACATCATTGTCATTGCTTTTATGTCGAATAATCTTTTCATTAACATTGTGATTATCAAAAGAAAAGGCATATTTACTTTTAAATTCTCTTTGCATCATGATTAATGAAAACAATCAATTCAATTGAAAAATACAAAAAACATAGCAAATTCTAAATATTACATTATCAACCGCATTCCAGTTCAAACAAAAACAAAAATCACAGCAAGAGTCCATTACCATAAAATCGCCAAAAAAAGATAGAATTTGGAGCACTTGAGGAATCCCCAATTCCATTTCATAAGAAAATACAAAAGAAATAATTTCCTAAAGCTTCAAATCTGATTTTTGAGAAACCAAAATAATAATAATAATAATAATAATAATAATAATAATAATAATAATAATAATAAGTTGGTGGGTCAAGTGACCCACCTTAGGTCCGCCAGTGTGTGGCATAGCTATGAGTGATGGCATGATTATACGCATGCTAGATATAGCCCTTGTTTGATTTGACTAAAAATCTTATTTTTAGTAAATTTTGATGAAAGTTGATGAAAATGTGTGGTTGAAAAGTTGATAAATGTTATGGGTTTCATATAATGTGTGGTTGAAAATGAGTTTAGAGAAAAAATGAGTTTTAAAAATTGGGACCAAACAGGGACATAATTCGTCTTTCTAAATTACGGCCAACTCCTATCTTCACTTCTCATATATCTTTTGACTAAAAGTTCAAGTGGCATCTTCTTATACACAGGAATATTGATGATGAGGACAAAACAATAAACGAGATAATCGAACAAACAGAGAACATGAAGCAGATACAAGAAGCATTGGCTTTTCCCATTGGTGTAGGAGCTGATTTTGATGAGGTCGTTGCCTATTTTCAATCTTCTACCAGTTCTGAAGCTTTATTTTTTATGCATTTAGATTTTCAATAGTGATTGTAATGTTGTGTAAAACTAAAGCATTCATGCTCTTCAGCTAATATCTGGGCCTTTTTGGTTATTGCACGAAAAATTGGAAGGCGTGGAATAGGAGGAATAGCTCCTTCAGCCTGCCTTTGCAGCCACTGCAGCTCCAGTGCAGGTGAATTCCGATCGATGTATTAGCCTAGAATATTTCCAGTGAAATAGCACATTTTAAGTTATTTTGTTGTACTGATGCATCAGTTACTAGCTAATATTCATAAAATTCATTTTATTAGGTAGGATAACAAATATGTTACCTAGATTTCGATTTCTTAATCTATATGCAGACTCAAATGTTACAAAAAGTACAAAATATACAGAGCCTTTCTATTAGAAAAAACTATCTCAAGTGAATCCCTGCAATGTCACTTGGCATGTGACCTCTTTATTTATCACCTTGCGCCATCCATATAGCTATCGTCTAACAATTATGTAGGTTGATCTCCGTTTTGCTGGCTTCAACATCTTTTATGCTCAAGAAACTGGGTTGATTGGTAGAAGCCAAAAGCCTTGCCCACATTCTATCCGTTATCACGACCTTGTGCTGTTTCTCGATAATTCTCTACACGCAACATTAGAATTTCTATATCAGGCATAGAACTCAAAAGATTCATCAAGCGTTAGTATTCCCTAGACGAAGGAGGTATACACCAGCCTGTGTGTGGTCATTGGTTTGAGTAAACATTAGCATAAGTTAAATCATATAAGATTTCATTATGCAAAGTAACTCACATGGAAGGGAATGTAAGCGTGTCTGCCATTGACAGGTCCTACAGTGAAACCTGTATAACCCGCCATTGCTCCATGAACGGCACTTTGAGCGAGAAGCGTACAGAACACATTGTCAGATGCGTTGCTGGGAACAGCTCGAATCATGTACATGAGATCTGAGATGAGGCAACAAGTGCAAACATTTAGTCTGAATAGCCTTTTCCTTTGATAATTTAACAGAGGAATATCTTAATACTAACCTATATATTTGAGATTAATCGCCATTTTACTCCGTTTAGAAAAATGATCCTGAAAGTCAAAATGCGTAAATATAAGTACTTTCCAAGACGTATATGGAACGCGCACACGCATGATACACAAACTCGAAATGTAACCTTAATCCTTTGCGATATCCACAGCCCAACATCTTGGAGAAGCTTGTTTCCAGAAGCATCTTGCTGATCGATAGAGCTCAAACTCTCAGAAAGTAACTCCTGCCCTGCACCTTCTGCTATGACAATAACCATATGTCCATTTTCTTTGAGTCGTTTCTCTATATATTCGAAGAGTCCACCAGGTCCTTCGAGATAAAACGGTGACTCTGGAATAAGGCAGCAATCGACATCTCGGCTGGCAAGAGTAGCATACATCGCAATGAATCCTGCAAACATATGTAGTGCTAAAATGTTAAAAACTGCTAGATTGAAATAGAAAACGATATGTACAGTGAAAATAAGCATTCTAGATGAATGAATGAGCAATTGGTAAAATTAACACATCAAAACTGTTACTTGATGTATTCATTTAGATGATAAAAACAATCTATCGTATATATTAGCATAAAGCTTACCACTGTAACGTCCCATTAACTTCACCAGACCAATACCGTTCTCAATACTTGTAGCTTCAACATGTGCTGCATTAATAGCACGTTGGGCTTCCTCGACAGCAGTGTCAAAACCGAAGGATTTGTCAATAACCTGCAATAGGAGATGGTACAAAGTTTAACACTTTGATTATTCTTTTGGGGAATATAACCATAATAAATATCTCATTCAAATATACCGGAATGTCATTATCTATTGTTTTGGGGATTCCGGCAACTGCAACCTTGAGACCGCGTCTTCTAATTTCCTGGTAGGATGGACAAGAACATAGTTTGAATATGATTGATGACACTAGCACAAATGGTGTTAATAGAAACAGGAAATGACATTAATATTAATTGAAATTGATCTCCTACCCCTAGTAGACAGGATAAAAAATTCCCACTGATGGTTCTCTGAAATTTTATCGTGCCCGCTAAGGGCAGGAGATCAGGCATGTAATATTGATAATTTAGAAACTGATAAACTGATTGATTTACATGCTACTGTCAAATGACTAAACTAGTAAAGATAGACATTCGCAAGCAAAGCAAAAAACCTCAAAAATTACTGCTGCTCCTTTCTGTGTCCCATCTCCTCCTAGTATGTAAACCTAAACTCAGAAAAGCAATGGAAACCATCAGAATTAACGAGGCTATGCGAGTTACATACAATTCAGAAGAAGGAAAATCGAAAATTTTGAAGACTGGCTCATATTTGTTTGACATACCTGATTAATTCCGCGGTCCTGAATGCTGTCAACTATCTTTTTGGTGTCATGACCACCTCGGGATGTCCCCAAGATTGTTCCACCACGTTTATGGATATCATTCACGAACTTTGGCGTTAAAGAGATGGTGTTTTTGGAGTAAAAACCACGGTATCCTCCCTAAAAAATAACCAGTCCCATCAGTTAACACCACCAAAGAAAAAACCACACATTTTTGCTGAATTCATGTAGAAAGAAACGTCAATGATGGACCGATGGAATTTCCTACAATATTTAGTTTCTTATCAAACACGAATGACGATCAGTTCATTGTCACATTAACCAGAAGCTGTAGTTACCCAAAAATTGTAGAAATACTTCATTTATGCATATCGCAGCAGGGAAATTTTAGTTTTACCCGAAGTTGCTTTATCAAACAACCAACTTTTATAGGCTATCCCTGACCAAAAGTTAACTAACAAAATCTGAGCATAAATTCTCTTATATGAAATGTGGAACAAATATAATTCTGCAGATATAGCGAAGTGCATACTTACAACTATTCCCAGAACTCTCGTCACATCATACATATGATGCAAGCCGCATACAATTTCCCGGATAACTGTGTTAAGTCCAGGGCATAAGCCTCCACATGTGACAATGCACGCGCGCACTTCATCAGACTTGAAGTAAACCTGCAAATTACCCTCGAATTCTTTTTAGTTTAAAGTACAGATAGATTTCTTCTAAATTTTTAACTCCAGCAGTTCATTAACTTACTCTTTGGCGAGGACCTGCACGTCGAAAATGTATCCCTCTTGGACTATTCTTGTGAACAACAATCTGCAGAAAAAAAAATAAGTATCAGAAACAAAATCGGTAACGAGAAGAAGGGTTCTCCAAAAATTTATCATTTGTAGATAGACTGACCTTTTGGGCGACTGTATCATCGTGATCTACAAAATACTGCCTGTCCACAGGTAAATTAAGACAAATTAAATTGATGCAACCTTCAAATTTTAAAAGAAATTATCAGGAGGAAACATGAGAAAAACTGATATAAGCTATAAAAAAAACTTACTTAACAACTGAATAAGCAGGATTGTACTGCAAGGGATTGGTATAAGTCTGTCAAAGAAAAGAATAAGAATAAGAAATCACAAGCAACCAAACAAGTATAAGACCTGCACTCTGTTCTCTTTCAAAACCATAAGATTCTCAAAAAATATTCAGATTTTCTAGAAAAGAAATAAATTACAGCGGGTATAATATTATATTATGAAAACAAATTCTCAAGTAATTAACGTTGTATTTTACTATAATATCTTCGTCATATATCTGGAAATGCTCCGGTCAAACATAGTTTTCTTCAAGTTTTTATCCTTTTTTTCCCACGCAAAACAAGTAAAAGTCGAAAGATTCAAACACCCAATTCATATCTTAGTTACAGAATCAAAGATGTGATCATAAGCAACAAAACCCAAATTAGAAATTATACATACAGGAAGATCAGGAATGTAATAAGACAAGTGGGGTACGTCTTCCAGAATGTAACCAAAATCTCCACTAACGATTTTAGGCTGCAAATCGTTGAGTAATCCTGCTCCCCCGGTTGAAATAAACCCACTTCTTGGATTCAAACCAGCTTTTTCCTGATCATCACTTGCAAAAATTTCAGCAACACCATCATTAGAGACAGACACCATCGATTCCATTAAAATGAAAAATCACAAGTAACCAGCTTGCATGTGATGGAATATTTATATGTTCAGGTGATTAAAAACTCTGAATCTTGATCATCAACTTTTCTAAAACGGTAGCACATAAAGTTTGAATATAATTTTGTTCTTCTATTTGTTCTAGAATCTATATAGTCCAAGAAGGGATTTCGTTTCTAAGGGTGGAAAGAAATTGACAGTTGGCAACAGTTTCTGGGAGGTAGATAGGAGTTCACGAAAAGTTTCAAGCTTTCAACTTGAACAGTGAGAGATCAAAAAGGAAACAGAGTGGAAACCGCAAAGAGAGTTGAAATGAAAGGTTAATTTTGTACTTTGCACTTTCTGTCAACTTGGACACTGAATTTTAATTTATTTCAAACTCGCTATCAAACTTTATAAAATGTATCAGTTAAAGCACTCGATTAATGAATTGTCTATTCTTTAACTGAAAATCCAAGCAGATGAATGGTTTGACAACTTGAATTTTTTAAAATTCAAGTAGAGCATCCAATCGAAAATCATAGGCAGCTACTGGTTCTTGATTGGCTTGATTAGTGAAAATCACATCTACGATATATTGTATAACAACTTCGTATACTGATACGAGATTTACACTTGAATGTACTAATTGGACACATTTCTAAATTGTTTACCCACATCGGATCTTCAATTTATCAAAAGTTAAAAGAAAATTGACCTTAAATCCAAGTTGTTAAAGTTTAGGGACCTCAAATATAGTCTAGGGACCAACTATGTTTCTAGACATGTTGGAAGAAATTAATTTCCATGTAAGAAATTTTGCTTTGACATTCATTGTCTCCTTACTTAAAACGGTTGAAATGGACAAAAAGACTAATGGATTACGACGTAAATTGTATGACTAACGAATTATGAGTTGAAGGTTTAGAAACATAAAGTATTATTCACACGACATAAAGTAAAGAAAATTTTATCTTTTTTGCTTGAATTTTATTTCTTATTGACTAATACCATATAAATTATTATTAAGGCATGGACGTTGACTGTATTAGGAAAAAAAAAAAAAAAAACTGATTTTTCTACCGTTTTATATGGTTTGTTCTAGAAAGGAGAAGATTCTATACATATTTCAAATTCTCTAGTTTACTTTAGCCTCCGTTTGACTCTCATTATTTTATATTATAATTTTTCTTTCTCTTATTTTCAATCACGCAATCATTCGTAAAGTAATATTATACGTAAATTGAAAATTTTTTCTTTCTTTTCGACCACACATTTAAAAAAAAATGCTATTTCGAAAATTATAATACCAAATAATGAGGGCTAAACGGGGACTGTTAATTAAATTTTTCGGTAAATAGATAAATTTATTTAATAATTTGAGGAGTTAATATAAGGGATCTAACCTTTTAAAAATGTGTAAATTACACTAAAACCTTCAAATTATAGCAGCAAAGGTCTTAAACTTTTCACAGTTTCTTCCAGAAGCATATTACTTGACCAAAACTCAATGTTTAACTATAATTTAATCAATTTTTATATTTAAATTTTAATTAAAATAAATTTTTTTTTATCGAATTTGTCAAACCTTTCAAAAATGTGCAGTGCAATCTCAAACTTCTAAAAAATGTGCAACGAAATGATTTAACAACAGTCATCGCCACCTCGCAATAGCGTCAATCACCATCGTTGCCTCATATCCTTCATCTCCATCGACCTCATTTTTCTCATCCCATCAACTCAATTTCCTCCGAATAAGAATTTTTAAAGAACTGGAAAGAAAGAAATAAATAAAAATAGATAAATTATCTCAATAGCGATGGTGGATGAGACTCCCGCAACTTCAAATGGGTAGGATTGGATGTGTTACGGGCTAAGTGTTGGGTAAAATTGTGTGGTTGTGTGGATTGAGGAAGAATATTTTTAGTCAACTAATAAATTTTTGGATGAAAAATATAAGATGTCATTTCGGCGCACATTTTTTAAAGCTTTGGATTCTCGATGTAAACTTGAAAGACAATTTTGCTCATTTTAAAATTAGTCAAATTATGATTAAAAAATAACTTTTGGTCAATTGATACCATCCAGGGATCCTTTCACCGCTCAACTTTTAAAGGTTTGGGATCTCCTCTGCTACGATTTAAAGATTTGAGTGTAATATATACACTTTTTAAAGGTTCTGACCTCCAATGGTACGGGGTCCACATTGACCCACTAAGATTGTAATTAAATTGTATAGATCAATGTCTTTGCACGTTAGATCTAAAGTGCGATGTGACACATCCCTACATGGTTTTGGAATTATAGAATATATGATAGTTGTCTTGGTAAAAAAGAAAGGAAATAAGTGTGTTAAAAATTGCTTACCAAGACCAAAGCTTAGGAAAAATCAATAATTTGGTCTTGCTGACCTAGTAACGAAGCTTCTTTTTGAACCATATACATTTTCAATTGAAATTAGGTCGGTCGTATTGTAAATTGTGCTTGAAACCATTAAAAATGTTTTTTAGACTTCGAAAAATGTTTTCAAAAAATAGATACTCGAAGAATAGCAGCGAAAGAGAGATATTTTTCTATTTTCTGCATTAGTTATTATATTGTAATATCGGCATGAGCGATACTAGATTTTTTATGGGATATCTCTATTTTTTATGGCCCTTTAATTTTATCTAATCTTAAATTTTTTCACATAAATTTTAGTGTTATTGATCACTTAACAAGACTCTAATCAACAAGATTCCTATCGAGGGTAAAGTTATACTTACAAATAAGAACTCATTTTTGTCGTGATAGTGATAAGAAGATGGCGAACTTTCATTAACATAAACTTTTCATCAACAAAGTGAACATGATAATATCTATCTCTAAATATTTTATGATGTAATCTTAACCGAATTATTGGATGGAAAATGTTTCTCGAAACCACCAGAGTCCAAAACAGGAAGGATGTGAATAACGTTGGCTAGAAATAAAAGTTAGATGACCTAATCTGGGTCTTCGATCAACTATAGTTGTTAACGAAAAATGGTTGTATCACTTTATATTATTTTTTTTTCCTTATTAGTCTATTAGTTCATAGATAATTAAATATTAAAGCATGAAGCACAACATTTTGATTCTAGAAACACTGGTTTTTTCCTACTGGTTCATTTCAAGAAATAGGATGGTGTAATAAGATTCTATTTCCTATTTTCTCCTTAATTTATTATTTTAAAAAATGAATGTACTGAATGCAATTAATATATGAGGAATTTAATAAAACTCTTATAAACACTTGCCTGTTTGAGCCTAATTTTTTTTGTCAAAAAGAATTCTGAAATAGTGATTTGATGACGAATGTATGGTTAAAAAATAAGAAAAAATTTTAAATTTATGTGTAATATTATTTTTTTGAAAAATATATAATTGAAAGTAATAGAGAAAAATATATTTTGAAAATAATAGAGATTAAACAAGAGCTTAAATATGCTTTTTATTCACATAATTCAAAAAATATATTAATACTATTTATTAGTCTAATACTTAATTTTATATATTTATAATTTAAATTGACTTTAAATCATCTACAAGGTACGAGCCGGTTGCTTTGCCAGCATTGACTTGTGTACAATAATTTGTTTGAGGGTTTTGCTATTTGTCCGGGGCCATTTAATAATTTGTTTGAGAATTTTGCCATTCGTCCAGGACCACATACAATAATTTGTCTGAGATTCTGCTATTCGTCCAAGGCCACATTGGTCGTGGACGAATCGGGGACGCATGTGATGCCCCTATTGGACAAACGCCTAGCCAATTGTTTGATAGAGAAAAAAAAAATTTATTATTTATTAATAATGTTGAACTCTGGCTATGAAGAAAAGTTTTGAAAATTCAATCATTTTCTATGCTTGTCACGAAGGTTCTTTTATAATTCTTCTTGCTTATCTTTATGGTAATAGGTTATAATCTAGTGAATTAGGTTGTATAGGTCGAGAGCTTGAAATCATAAAATTTACTGTTTGGTTGTGATTTTCTGAAATTAATTTTGTAAAAAGTAATTTTAAAGAATGTATGATTAAAAATTAAGAAAACATATGATTAATTATAAAGTTATTTTATTTGAAGAATATGTGATTAAAAAAAATAAATTAAAAATGGAGTCCAAATATGTGCTTACATTTTTCTTACGGAGTAACAGCTGCTCGAATTTTGAAGTCTTAAACAAAAAAGATTTACTAGGCATTTTTAAAAATAAAAAATTGGAACAAAATATCACCGAAAATTACGTTGATTATCAATATTGTTATAGATGATCTTACGCATATTAATGTTTATCATAATTTTGGGCAGAATTACCAACACGAATATTACAAACTGTTGGAATATAGTGGTGTTAATGAAATCGAATTATTACATACCATATATGTAGTTTAAATATCGATTTTGAGTATACCCTATATGCAGCGTACCATATTTGTAGGTAAATTACCGTATTTGTAGACAGCTTACCGTATTTGCAGCTTACCATAAATACTGCCTACCATAAATGCTTCATATCGTATATGATTTTAACCGTATTTGCACATATTTTCTTTACCCTTTTCATAAATACCGTATTTCCACATACCGTATTTTCACTTACACATAGAAATAGCAAAATTACAAAATATAATTTTTTTTCCTTCTAATTCTTACTTTTAACATAAATAGAAATTAACGTAGATTAATTTTGATAAATATAAATAGAATGATAACATAATAAAATGGCAAATTATATGAAACACACGGATAAACGCTAAATAATTAAATCTGCAAGAATAAATTACAAATGTGTAATCGCAAAATAAATAAATAATGGATTAATTTTCAACCCGAGGCCTGTGCAAACACAGTTTCCTTAAAACAGAGTCGTCCCCTCACCGTAAGTGCTTGAGGTCTAATCCAAACGTTTGTTTCCTAGGATACAACGGTAAAACCCGTAGAATCTGAGTATCACAGATACTACTCCATCGAACTAACTAGTTTCTGAAGAATATCACCATAATGACGAAGCTGAACAGAAATTGAGATGCAGGCAGAAAAAATTGCAGAATATTTTTCTCCTATTTTCGTGTGTGTTTCTGTATATGTGGTGGAACTGCTGGAAAAATGACCTTTTATATAAGTTTAAATATGTCTATTAACTCCATAGTAATAAATATTGGAGTTGCTTTAATTTCTGGGTGTTTTGGCAGTTTTTGGAAACTCAAAGGTCGGTTGAAGAAAGCAAAAAATTGCAAAACGTGGAAACTCCAAACAGGCCAATTTTTGCTC